GGACACTCTTGTGGGACACACTTGTAGGACACTCTTGTGGGACACTCGTGTGGCACACTCATACGGGACACTCTTGTGGAACACTCTTGTAGGACACTCTTGTGGGACGCGCGGGACGCTCTTGTGGGACACTCTTGTGGGACACTCATACGGGACACTCTTGTGGGACCCACACTCTTGTGGGACACTCTTGTAGGAGACTCTTGTGGGACACTCTTGTGGGACACTCTTGTGGGACACTCTTGTAGGAAACTCTTGTGGGATACTCTTGTAGGACACTCTTGTGGGACACTCTTGTAGGACACTCTTGTGGGACACTCCTGTAGGGCACACTCTTCGTACGAGACTTCCTCCAAAAGTCACGCTGCGAGGCTGCAAGACAAGCGTTTCGTACAAGACTTCCTCCAAAAGTCACGCGTCAAGTCTCAAAAACGAGCGTTTCGTACGAGACTTCCTCCAAAAGTCACACGTCAAGTCTCCAAAACGAGCGTTTCGTACGAGACTTCCTCCAAAAGTCACATGTCAAGTCCCCAAAACGAGCGTTTCGTACGAGACTTCTTCAAAAACTCACATGTCAAGGTCTGCAAAACGAACGTTTCGCACGAGACTTCCTCCAAAAGTCCAGCGGAAACACCCATCGGAGCACACACATCACGCAGCCCTGCCAAGCAGTTTCGCGATTCCAGCCCCTCCAAACGACGCCCGCTCACACGCCAATCCCAATGTGACAGCGACATTCACCTCTACCACAACTCACAACCTCCCGATTCCCTGCGCCTGCCACGAATCTTTCCGCGTCCACACGTCTAACGCGCACAAAGTACTGCGCCTGTCACGAAATGTCACCTCCGTCACACATCGCAACCTCACGATTCCCTGCGCCTGCCACGAAAATCATACTTCCACACCTCAAAACCCGCACAAAGTCCTGCGCCTGCCACGAAAAGTAACAATGTCATCTCATGTGAGCTTCAACAAAATTTGCACCACACCACACGTTTGGAATGATTTCGACCCGTTCTGAGCACACTCCCATCCACCAAAATCGGCATTTCAGCTGAGACTTGTCACGAAAACAGAGCTTCGATGCCACACCCTGAAACGCAAATCCCAATGGCACGGCCACATCCAACACCCCAAAAACACGACTCTCCAAACGCTAATCCCAATGGAACTGCGCAGCAATCTGCAGATCTCACAAAACGCTGCGCCTGTGCAGCGAAATGCATCACGCTTCTTGCGCGACATGTCATTTTCACGCAAATCACAATGGACTAGCGTCGCAAACTGACACGTGACACATCCATGAATAGTCACTTGCAAAAGCTTCCCCCAATGGCAGCGCCTTAGCGACCTACTGCGGACGGTTGCGAACGGTTGCGGACGGTTGCGAACATAGAAGCAACGGGTCGCGAACAAGACTCTACCCCCAGACCCCCAAGAGTTAAACGAGAACCCTTCGCTACGCATTCGGGAAAACTCTGATGGATGTATCATGTGTATCACGAAAGGGCCGACTTGACGTCAGCTTCGCTTATGTTTGAAACTTCAAAGTGGCAGGTCTGCGCAAAATGCGCTACCCTGTTTGCTGACAGCGCCGCCGCCTCCTGTCGCCAACCTCAGCTGGGTAGAAAATGCAATCAACATTCATTTGTCTCACGTCAGCGTGGTGAAACACGCCGTGTGATGCGAGGAACTTAAGCGTGTTACTGATCAAACTCCCGAGGCAGAATTATCTGTATAATCCAAATTAATCCAAGTCCTTCCCTTATATCATCTCATCATCAGCAACGCGACTCCACTGATTCTTGGTGCATTGTATCTCGGCTGTAGCATTCACTAGTTTGCTTGTTACACTCATGCAATGTGCTTTGCCAAGCATGTGATTGCCCAGTTGCAACCTGTGGCACGTGGCCCAAACGTCAATTTCAGCTGCTCATTTGAGAAGTTAGATGAGGGACTTGGGAGACCATGGATGCTGATCAATGTGATGTCCCTTCCAAGATGCAATGGCCTTTCAAGCTTGTATATAACGATGAACATTTGATGAAAGTATCAAAGGCCCAAAACGCCTACTAATAGGAGCAAGGACGCTACTAGGGGCTCCTCAAAACAGAATGCACTTTCCAGCAGTACATGTACAATGTACAAGCTCCGTTTCAGCAAGCACAAGCACATAGCGAGAAACACGACTGTCGCAGGTGCAGGTTTTTTCGAGTCTTTGGAAGTGAGTACGAGGTACTAGCAGTCTTTGGAACATGCAGTTTAACATGCAAAGAAGTGAATTTATAGCATGTTTTAGCAAGGCATCACCGGGTGGCCCTTTGATGCCCTTTTTGCTGGCATGCATTTGGGCTTTTCTGGCTGGTGCATCTGTTGCTCTTCAAGTCGGTGGCGTGGGGGTCCAAAGTGAACTATGATTTCACAGAATGCCACATATGTAATATGAAGATATGAAGATCATGAATGTAAGCAAGAACTCAGAGCGAAAGGAAGAAATGATATTGCAGTACATATGGAATTCTTCGCTCTTCCTTAGACTGCTCAATGCAATTGAGCCATGAGCCCCATGATTCTGAAAAATCAAATTCCAGCCTCGTCGATTTGAAGAGCTGAGGGCGTCGTGCTCAATGACACGACCTCGCCTCAACTGCCCCACTCTGCATACGTGTTCGTTGGATGTTTGGCGGTGGGCGCACTCTGGCTAATGCTCTTACAACAACTGCAAGGCAAACATTGGGAGCACCAATTTGTGGTGTTCATTTTCGTGCCATAGCCATAGTGAAGCTGCTTTCCGGAGCATGTGTTTGCTTATCACTGAAACATAGATTTCACATGGTTTCACAGCGAAACGAGGTACTGTAGCAACAATTACCATGTCAATTGATTCTGCATGCTCGCTGTCGCCAACTGAGCCACTTGTTTTTGCAAATGATTAGGTTTATACAAAAAGGGAACTGTTGAGCAGTTGCGGAGGCTGTTCTGCTTGGGGCGTAGGCGTCGTGTAAACATTTTGCGTAGGTGGGGTGGGTGTTGAAAGACTTGCGTAGGCAGTTTTGCGTAGGCGCATTTTTAATCTGAAAGCATGAATTTTCTTGTTCAGACTTCTTTACATGTTCAAGGGTCTTGGGGGAAAGACATGTGGATAATTTTGGTTTGTACTGGTAGTTGTTTAACTTGACACTTGCTTGCAAATACCAGAGGGGAACACAAGAAACATGAACTGTAATGGCATGGCTACAGCGGATGTTTGAAGTTTGTTTGTCAAAGCTATGGGAGCACATTGGTTTTTGAGGTCAAAAGCTAGATCACGCTTGGTTTGGCACACCGGCTCTCTAGCCACACGTGTGCACACCCTGTTGGTACCATTATCGATGGAGCAAACTGACCTCTGCACTGCCCGACAGCTTACACCATGTGAGCAACAGGCTAAACTGATTGGTTCCCAACAACAGACCTATTTTCGTGTAGGCCCGCGTAGGCACTCGCGGATTCAGCGCGTAGGCAAGAAGCTTTTGGCTGCTGCTACTGCTTTTGCTGCTGCTTTGCTGCTGCTGCTTTGCTGCTGCTGCTGCTGCTGCTGCTGCCTCTTGTTTGCTGCTTGCTGTGCGCTGCTTCTGTGCCGCTTTTGTGCTGCTGCTAATGCTTGTGTGCTGCTGCACGCTGTTGGCTGCTGCTGCTGATATGCTGCTGCTGCTTCGACACTGTAACTGGATTGGCTTGATACAAAACTCAATCTTTCTGGCGTAAACGCCTTGTAAGCAGGAACCTGATGTGACCCGGTCGCATCAGGCCACTACTCTTTTCGAGTCACCTGATGTGATTGAAGTTGGTGACAGCGCTCTGCGTAGGCACCCGTGCAGGTACAGACAGACAATGCCCCACACAACCAAAAAACACAACTCAACCGTTTTCAACTGTTGATGCATGTTGTTGTTGTTTGCTTGAGCAGCTACTAGGTTGGAGGCCATCGCTAGTAGGTTGGAGGATAGTACTACTAGTAACAAATAATGCCCTCCTTACCTTGAGCAGCTTCAGCCGCCCTGTCGCTGCAGGTGGGGCGACTCCCAAGAGGCCCAAGTACATTTGGTCCTGTTGCGGTGGGATGCTAATAGCCCCCGCGTTTGTGCCTTGAACAAGACTTAGAATGCATTACGTCAGGATTCACGGGTGTAGTATTGCTACAGTAGCTGCCTGTCAGGACTCAATGGCTTGGCAATAAGAAACTCTTTCAGATGGCAGAGCATTTGCACTTGTCTTATTAAGATCGATTTCAATATACTTCCAGAGATTGTCTTGAGATCTTGTACGAGGGTTTGTCGGTTAGAATGACTTGTTGATTTATTGATGTTCTCATGTTTTCGGTCTGGTAGGTAGGAACAGGAGGAGCACTTTCGTGTTTGCTGTTCAGCTTTGTCGATCGACTTGTTTTATCTTTCGATGCCATTTTGGCTCAAGCTCATTGCCAGGCAAGAACATTAGGTTCATCCTTTTCAGGGCCTAGCACAGGTCTATCCTGTTCAGCTTTGCCAACAGTTCGCAGATATCTTGTTACCCATCTGGCTTGATCAGGGTTGGCAGTTCAGGGACAGCTTTCGCTTGTGCACCATCGATCGCAAGCGTCTGCTCGGCCAGCCTCTGAAGTGGAAACAGCACCGTCAGGCTCTCACCGCTCTGAAGGCGGAAGCTGCAGGGTACCAGCTCAAGCGCGGTGCTCGTAAGCCTTTGTTGCATGTGGAAACCGAGCCTGGCATGGCCATCGCTTGGGCGCTCGACTTGCCACATCCCTTGTGCGCCGACCTGTCCTTGGATCAAGCATTAGAAGCCAGCATTTCGTCTTTGGCGCAGGATCCGCTCGCTGTGTTGTCCCAGCGTGCGCGTGCAATGGATTTGTGGGAGTCTCGCGCTCTTGAGTTGTTGCCGCTCACTGACCAGCTGATCAGCTCACAAGAGGATCCACACTTGCGCCGACTGCTGAGAGGCGCACCAGATAATGAACCTTGCCAGCTCGGCGCATGCTGTCACATTGCTTTGTACTATGCCATGCTTGAAGCTTGTGATTCGGTCGATAAGTTTTTGCCTGATTTGCTTCTGCAAGGTTTTCCAATAGTCGGGCCCATCGCCCGTTCGAGGCGGTGGGGCCCATATGATAAAGATCAACCGCGTGTTAGGATCGAGCATGCATGTTCTAGGGCCTGGGCCTTGAGAGCGAAGATCGTCTCTCGTGTTCGAGGGGTTTGTGTCTCCGAGAACTTGAAAAAGATCTGGGATGCCACCCTTGAAGATGTGGCCGAGGGATCCACTATCGGTCCTTTTCAGCATGAACAAGAGATCTCACAGTTTCTCGCTTGCGAGGACTGGATTCCGACGCAAACGGAACAAGGTTCGAGGCTGTGACAGCGCCACAACCAATCTCATCAATCAGATCACGGTGATCGCCGAGAAACTGCAACTTCCTTCGGCCGACTCGAACGTTGCAGCTCTTCGCAAGATGCGGTCGCGCATGCCAGATGCAAGATTCGCGGGTTGGGTGCTCGACGAACGCAAAGCCAGGCCAGGTGGCTATTCGACCGTGCCATAGGAAGTTCAGTGTGATTTGCTTGAAAAACCCCAGCTCGGGGAAGCGGGGAAGCCGGAGTTCTTCATCATGATCGGTCACTCGTTCGGCCTCGTTTCTGCAGTCTATAATTACAATCGTAGGTCTGCAGCCATTAACGAAGTGCTCGTTAGTTTGTTCAACTTGGTGACCTTCTCCTTTTATGATGATAAATACGGTTTCGAGCCTTTTGAGACTGTTCAGTCGGCTTTCGAAATTGCTCAGAAAGTGCATTGGTGGCTCGGAGCCACGTTCGATGCCAAGAAACTGCAGCTCTCGTCTCAGCCGACGATCTTAGGTGTTACCTACAACCTAGACGACTGGGTCCTCGAGATCAAGGCCTCTCGCCGGGAAGAGCTCGTGGAGGAGATCGAAAGCATCTTGGCAGAGGACCTGCTTGAGCCTGGTCAGGCTGGGAAACCTAAAGGCAAGTTAATGTTCGGAGCTCGTCAGCTCTGGGGGAAAGTCGGTCGAGCTTTTCTCAGAGTGATCTCGGAGCGGCAATACGCTCGTGTTGCAGTCGGTGACAGGTTCGGGTTAGACCCACCGTTGAGAGAGTCGCTAAACCAGTGGCTCAAACTTGTTCGAGCTGGGCCCCCGAGAACGATCGATTGCTGTCCTGGAAAGAAGGCCGACGCAGTTTTGTTCACCGATGGTTTTTCACCTGATTTCCGCTCTTCGGATTCTAGACCTGACCGAATAGGGGCAGTGTTGTTTGATCGCAGGCTCTGCGCTGCACTACAGTTCACCCTGCCAGTACCCAAGAAGTTGATAAAGTGCTGGCTCGAGCGGAAGACACAAATCGTGCCTGTTGAAATGCTCGCCCCTATCGTGGCACTCGAAACGTTTGCCGATCGGCTTCAAGGAGCAGATCTGTTTTTGTTCACGGATTCCGAAGTAGTGGAAGCTGCTCTCGTAAAAGGATACTCGAGCCGCGAAGACCTTTGCACGCTCGTGTCAGTCTTTTGGGATTTGATCCTGAGCTTGCAGGTTCGTGCCCAATAGACCAGGTTAGACTATTTTTTGTCTAAGATCTATTTTGTAAAAAAATTGTCTATTAGATAACTTTTTTGTTGCCTAAGACAACATGATTCTTGGCTAAGACAACTTTTCAAAATTTGTCTAAGTCTATTTTGAAGAAACAGTCTTAGACTATTTTTGGCTGTGTCTGAGACAATTTTTTTTGTCTCAGACAAATCAAAACTTCCTCAAAACTACCACAGGCACTGAGGAAGTTTACTTGCAGTTTCATCATAGGCATGAGGAAGTTTATGTTACAAAATTTGCATATTATTGCAGTTTCAGTCCATGTGCATGACAAACTTCCACACTTGCAGGTTGAAACTGCCTACAAACTTCCATCAAACTACCTCCAAACTGCCACAAAAAGAAAGGAAGTTCGAAGGAAGTTTTGAAAAACAGACGAGGTAGTTTCGAGGAAATTTCCTTGAAATTTCCTCGTTTGCAGCCGCGAAAATTTGTCTAAGACAGCAGATTTTTGTCTATTAGACAACTTTTGTTTTGTCTATTAGATAACTTTTCGTCACATAAAGTTGCCTAAGACACATCACAAAAATTTGTCTAATAGACAAATTTTAAGAAAGTTGTCTATTAGACAATTTTTTGTCTAACCTGGTCTATTGGGTGTTTTCATAGATCGAGTAGCCACAGACGCTAATCCGGCAGATGCTCCGTCGAGAAATGATCTAACGACGGGATCGAACGCCGGTTGGCTCACGGTCGAGACCGCCTGGCCCGAGCAGCTCGTTCGTGACTAGCGCAACGATGTGTCTAAAAGGTGCGTGGTCGTAAGGGGGGGCCTGGGCAAGAAGGGAGCGAATCCTGGTCTTGTTCAAGTCTTTTGTTTCATCACCTGTTCAGTTTAGGGCTCGTGAAGAGTTCGCTTCGTGAAGGAGCTTGTTCCCTGAACTGTTACGGTTTGTGATCAATGCCCTCTTTGACCCCTCTTTATAGACGGATCGTGTCCGGGGGTTACGTCCCCATGCTTGTAACCTCTCGGATAAAAACAGCTTGCGGCGTGTTTTCTTTTCCGAGGGTTTGTTTTGTTGTTCGATCAAAGATGAACAAAGACACTCATTCGTGTCTGGTGCAAACTGGAGAGTGGTTCTCATGTTTTCGGTCTGGTAGGTAGGAACAGGAGGAGCACTTTCGTGTTTGCTGTTCAGCTTTGTCGATCGACTTGTTTTATCTTTCGATGCCATTTTGGCGAAAGCTCATTGCCAGGCAAGAACACCCAACCCTGCCCACCCTGTAGCGTTATGCTGCGGGGTGCCAAGGCAGGCAGGCCCGCGCAGAGAACTGTTTCAAGTTCGAAGTTCTGTCCAGATCGGGGTGAGGGCAAGAAGGGAGCGAATCCTGGTCTTGTTCAAGTCTTTTGTTTCATCACCTGTTCAGTTTAGGGCTCGTGAAGAGTTCGCTTCGTGAAGGAGCTTGTTCCCTGAACTGTTACGGTTTGTGATCAATGCCCTCTTTGACCCCTCTTTATAGACGGATCGTGTCCGGGGGGTTACGTCCCCATGCTTGTAACCTCTCGGATAAAAACAGCTTGCGGCGTGTTTTCTTTTCCGAGGGTTTGTTTTGTTGTTCGATCAAAGATGAACAAAGACACTCATTCGTGTCTGGTGCAAACTGGAGAGTGCCAAAAAATGTCAATTGCGCTGCCTGTCCTGTGGCCTGAAGGTTCACAACATGCTCCCAAAGTAAAGAGTCGTCAAAGCTGTTTTCTACTCAGGTTTGCACGCCAGCTGCTGCACTCTTAGGGACGCAGTTGACCTTGACGTTGTTGCTCCTGGGTATGATGTCCTCGGCTTTCCTTTTCGATTGCCTGGCATCCCGAATCAGCATCTCAAGATACTTTTTGGCGGGCATCATCCTTTCACTGGGTGCGGTGGCAATACAATCATTTGCTTCTGTCGGACAGGTGTTGCTTGGTCAGCAAAAGAATGCAGACGTCGTGTGAAAAAGTCTTGTCACGAAAGGTAGCCCTTTAGGGGATACCTTGAGTTTGTCTTGCGAAGCAAGTGTTGGGACGTCCGGGTCTAATAATTGATCGCTCAATTCAGACCCCTCCC